CATGGTAGAATTAATGAAATTAGTTTACCACATACGGGGCTAAAATGTAAAAGATAGGGTGCCATAATAGAATTAATAAAATTTATTTACAACATATGGGGCTATATTGAAAAAATTTGGGTGGCATAGTAGAATTAATGAAAGTGACCTAGGAACAATTACTTTAGACAGTGACGACTAATTGTTGTCACTAATTTTGAACCGATAATCACATTGTGATAACATTATAAGTAGTCACTGTAGGGCCCATTTCAATGATAATATTTTTTTAAGTCGTCACAATGGTGATTTCCCGCCACACAAGCCAGTTGCGCGCCCTCATATTGTGACGATTAATCCCATGTTGTCATGATGATGAGTCTATCCTCGGTCAACTATGATGACATCAAAAGTCGTGACTAAATTTGCTCAACTGTGACAACTTTTCTGTCGTCACTGAGAATATTGTCACAAAAGGCCAAATTTTTGTAGTGAAATACGACTTCCAAGAAGAAATTCACTACAATTGATATTGAACTCCGAATGATACCTGAGCAGTAAGCACTCAATGCTAAATGACACGAAGACAACATTAATTAGTTTAGGAATTAACTTAACGTGAAAATAAGAACCAAGGGAGGTTTTAAATATTCAATTCGTATGAAGTAGAACCACATGAAACGAAGAACACTCAAATATGATGCTTCCACACTAACTCTAGAAATGATTTGCCACATTATGACAATGAAACGTTAAATCATTTACTCCCTATACAAAAAAAAAAAAAAAATTTCTTCTATTTCTGTGAGGCTCCTATCCCACATCAGAAGTGTAAAAAGGAAAGGAATGGTTTAATAACTTGGACACATAGGCTACTGAATAATTAATATTATAGCGAATCTCGTGCGGTCTCTATGGGATGAGGCTAGATCGCATAGGATGAGTCTAGATTAGTGTGTTATGATTTTGATTATGTTAGGAAGTCTTTACTGTAATATATATATATATAGAGGGAGTCTTTACTGTTAAATCAGCATAGGAGGAGGCCTTGTAGAGAGCCAATATAAATGTGCTGATAGGGTGTTAATTGTTAGTAATTTTATTGTTAATTTCCCCCTTTGTCCTTGCCAAATATTGTTTAAATTGTTAATATATACTTATTTTTGGTATCTGGACGTAATTTCAGGGAATGGAGCAGAAAACTACCAAAAAGAAAGGAAACAAGAGACAATTGGGCTAGGGCCCACCTTTTGTACTTCATTGGCTCAAGTCCTACGGGAGATAGCATTAGTAATCTTTTTTTTGGCTTCTAAGAGGATCATCGGCGGGGACCACGAGAGGAGAAAAGGCTTTTCTTCATTTGGCCTTTAAGAGAAAGAACGTAGAGAGGCTCAAGACAAGAAGAAGAATTCGGCAGGCTTGTGCTACTTCGTGGGGACCAAAAAACTACATTTTCGGCTGCTGATGAAGAGAAGACTCGTACTTGGAGTCCTACTATCAATAGGAAGCAATGAGCAATTCGGCAGGGCATTCTTCTAGTAGTTTTTGGACTCTAAATTTCGGCGGGGACCATGGAGAGAAAGCATTAGGGATTAGTCATTTTGGCTTTAAAAAGAAAGAAACGTACAGGCGGCTAGGATGAATAGTTTTAGCAGACCTTTAGCATAGTTTAGTTTTATTCTTTCTTGGTTCCTTTGATGGCCTGGACCTCAGTTAAATTATTTGGAGATTTTCTCATGAGGCGTGGCTAAGTTTCTCGTCTAGTCGAGGAACAATGGAGGACTTGGTTCTACTAAATTTGTGAGATCGAATTAGTTTTTATTTATTTCTATTATTTACTGGTATTCGTCTATCTTCTGCTTTATGTTCATATGGTTGTTTTATTATTCGATTATCCAGGGCCCGGATTCTAGATTAATTCAATAACCTGAAGCCAATTAGGGTAGTTAAATCTGTAATTGTTTAATTATTCTAAACTGGTGGCAACTGGCATGATTGGGTTTGTGTCAGGGAGATAGACAGACAAACTTAAAGAGACCCTCGTAGCGTGTTGATTGGTTAGAATTAGGCTCTTCTAATTATTCATGCAATTAGGGAATTGAACTTCTATGGTCGTACCTAGGGTTATTTCCTGATTAGAGAAATAGTCAACGGTCGTACCTTGGCTATCGACAAATTGAGGAAGAGTTGGTTGTTTATCGCGTGTATGACAACTATAACTAATTTATCAGATAGTAACTGGAATAATCCTTGCATCTGTGATCAAATTAAGTGAACCATCTCCGAAGTTGTCTCTTGGCTAGAGTTCGTCCATTATTATTTTTATTGTGATAATTAGTTATTTGAGTTGTAGTTGTTTTATTTTATTTTGGTTTATTCCAAGCAATTTAGTTACACTCATTTTCAAAAACCCCCATACTTCGAACTCTAAAAGAAATAAATTATCCCCAGTCCCTGTGGATTCGACCCTGTTTACCACTATCTACAGAAATTATATTTTATTTAAGCAGGTATTTATTATTGCACAGGTTCAACACCCTGTCATGTGCCTTAATCTAAAGTTATTTGGTTTTAAGGATTTAATCCTCATTTTGCTTAAGTTAGTTGGTTAATTAAAAAAGTCTCTTTGCGTCTTGTTAGTGACAGTTTTTTGTATTAGTAGGCTTAGATATACGACAAATATGTAAAAAGAGAAATTCAAATCCTTTAAAGTTTTTACTTTCAATTCTTCCTCTTTGAATACTAATGTCGGGTGAAACTAAAACACTCCATTTGTAAGGAAACTAGTAATTCAATAAGAGTACAATAGGATTTGGGAAAAATATACTTTTTCAAACGCCAAAATTGTCAAAATTCTGTTCAGGTTCAAAAGGCGCCTCTTATTTTAGAACAATTTGGGTTTGTTTGGATTGTGTTTTATTTGGAATATTTTTATTGTAGAACTTTTTGTGATGTGATGTGTGTGAGATAAAAAGGTAATTGGAAAGATAAAAAGGTTTATTGAAAATTGTAATGATGATGTAAGTATCCCATTTCCTATTATGCAATAAGAGAAGAAGAAAGCACGAGTTCCTGTTCAAGCTGAAGGTGTTGACTCGTGGAAGCTTGGTTGCAAAGTTCCCAAGCTTGGTTTGTATATTTTTTTAAATTAGCTGATTTTGTGAGAAATTTCACTTTTGTCCAGTCCACGCCTCCACCTTTCATTTCTAAGGATTGAATGGAATGGAGTATAAACTCAGTGCCTAAAGCCTTTTGGAAAGACTGAGATTAATGCCCAAAAAATTATATTGCCTTGAAATGAATCTTGACCATTGGATCAAAACTAGAGTTATCTATTTAAATAATGGAAACATAGCTCTCCAACAAAATAAGGATTGTTATTAGTGCATTACAAAGATAAAACACATTAAATTTATATTTTTGTATTTTTCAAATTTATTTAGTGATAATACTTTTTGTTTCTATCTTCCTTATCAGTTTGGTCAAGATGGAGGAAGCGATAACTTTAGCTCTTCTTTCAACTATTGGTGACTGTTTTTAGTGGGTTTTATCTCGTCTCGTGATCTTCTCTATTACGCTGGCCAAATTGATTTTTGCAACTATGTCAGAACGATTCATGTATCTTTTCATGGATTTTGTCGTTGTACTCGTATCATTTTGATATAGCAAAGTAATTACGATAATATAGCATTGATTTTCAACGTGGTTTATAAGTCACAATGTATGATACAATAACCTAAATAAATTTGAAGTAGTTCTTAGTATTTTTTTAGACTTGCTCACAGTGGATATAATGTGTTTTATTCTGTTTCTCTTTACCATCTATGTTTCGATTTCATCGTTAGTATGAACTCTGTAAACATTTTCTTAAGAAAGAAGGCAAGCTAAAAATTAATTTGCGAACTTGTTAGCTTTTAACCATAAGGATAGTATCCTAGATTAGGTGTGCCACTAATAGATTGCCGGCAATACACTATACAAATAAACATAATGTACAAACTTTTTTCTTTATTGCATCTAAACAAACTTAAATACCCCAGGACAATAATAATTTAAAGAAATAAGAGCTGAGAAATTGTTGAAGTTACATATGCTTTCATCAAATGATTCTAAACAAAGCATGTGGATGTGAATTTTCAACTTAGTCACATCGCCTAACTACAAGTTGACATAGAGATTGATTCCCCAATGCCTTCTGCTATAGCTTCAGTTAGAGCCATCAATGAGTATTACCTGGAAAATAAAGGACAAAAGCCAAAAATTAAAAGGATAAAAATTAAAAAGAAAAGATATAAATAGAGTTCCAAATTCAAGAATTCAGAGTTGGATATTGTTAGAAATTTAGTGCTATATTTACCAGTTAATGTCATACATCCTCTCAATAAAAAAAAATCCACTATAAACTATTAATGAATATTTCCACTTGATTTATATGCAAATTATTTATTACTTTTTTGTTTGAAGCAAAGAAAGTTAGGGCTACTATTCTACTGAATTCTTCAGGTGGGCCAAAGTTTTGATGAAATTTTGCAAAAGTCAATTTTTTCTTGTATGCGTTAACATTACATCAGAAGTTGTGCATCTCAAATCACATTCAGTTAAACAGGCCATTTTCTCAGATGCATCATCAATTCATATTTTGCATTATATATATGAACACTTGATTTGTTATTAAGTACATGTCATTCCACAAAGTAGGCCTTAGTTTGTTGTAATCTATAAGCAGTAATTATTTAACTTCAAAAATGATAGATACATAAAAAAAATGTGTGAATAATCATACTTGAGCAGATATTAGAATATGTCAACTTGAGAAATGTGTGATATTTTCATCCTGTCGTCTCCTATTTTATCGGAGTAACAATCCCTCAACTTGTTACAACCCAGAACTTTCAAACTTTTGAAAGATGATATCTTTCCAAGGATGCGATGCGGCAAAGTCTCAAACTTTTTACAGTACTCAATATGTAGCTCCTCCAAGTGTGGCATGATAGAGACATCAACTTTTTCATCATCTTCACTTAAGTCTTCCAATTTGTCCAATTTGGGCAGCATTGAAAATGTAATTTTCTCAAATTAGGAAATGCTGCTGCTTCAGCTGAAGATGATGTCTCGGAGTTTGACAATGTACCAAAGGTATTATGACTATTCTCATGCAGTGCTATTGTGATTCCAAAGAATTCCTTGCCCAAACATTCCAGCTTTTCCACTCTAATGAGCCTAAGCTCTTCTAGGGACGACAGCTTCCACAAGTCAGTCAAGGATGAGACATTGCGCGGCCCATTGATAATTAGCTTCGTCAAGTTATTGACGAGAGACTTCGTCACAAGCCAACTTGGTAACTGGTTTCTTGGATACATATCTAGCGCAAGTTGTTGCAAGTTTGGAGGCAATTCCATGCTTTCAATGCAACTTGGAGTTTCCATAAAGTGGACTCCAGGGTTAAACCACAAATACATTTCATGTAGGTAAATTTTCTTTCCAAGTTCTGCACTCCCAAAATCTACTTCTCCATAAATATCAATGCGCAATCTTTCTAGTTGGTTCAGGTACTTCAGAATTGCCAAATCATCAGAGTTGCTCCTGGCGTTGAACTGAGTCAACGTACAAAGTGACGTCAGCTTCCCCAATCTTTGTGGAATTTGATGTACTTCATAGGTAATAAGATTGAAAAGGTGCCTCAAGTGTACAAGGCCTTCAATCCTTTGGGGAAGGCACGAAAGATCTCCACAGTTACTGATATCAAAAGTTTTCAGATAATATAGATCACATATAGCTTCTGGCAGTGTCTCAAAAAGATTCCAACTTAAGTCCAAGTGCCGGAGATGATTCAAACTTCCAATCTCGGCTGGGACTTCATGTAGCCCACAACAACTTAAAGTCAGAGTCCTCACACAATTCAAACTGCAAAACAGATGACGTGCTGAGCCTTGGGGAGCTACTCTTCCATGTGAAAAAGCAAAAAAGCTCCTGAGCCTTCCAAAATCAATGACTAGAGAACTAAACGCCCTCTCGGTGCCTAGCCATGTTAGATGACGGCACTTTCAGTCGATAAATTTCTTCCAGTGCCTTGTTCATAATCAATTCCATGAAGTACATGACATTCATTTTTTGTGAGAAATTGTGCAAAATCATGCACTATGTCATGCATCTTGCACTTCATATATTCATGAAACCCATATTACCCCTCAACTTCTTGTAATTCTTGAAAAAAGGAACGCATTGCCAAATTGTTGAAGTACTCAAGGCCCACCAGCTCCAAGCGCTCACCTCTTCGATTTGGACGAACATAACCTTGTGCTATCCACAGCCTAATAAGCTCTTCTACATTTATCTCAAAATCTTTGGGAAAGACAGCACAATATGAGAAGCAACGTTTCAGCTCTGGGGGTAATTCATTGTAACTTAAGTACAAATGAGGAAAAAGGCTCACAGCCGCTTCCTTTAATTGCCATATCTCACTGTCCAAAACATTCTGCCATTGTTGTACGGTCTCTTTGAACCGTAGCAAGCTTCCATAGGCTTTGCAGCAAGTGGCAACCCTTTGCATTTTTCTGCAATTTTTAACCCAATTCTTTCCACTTTCTTGCATAAGTCCCTGATTTTCTAGCAAATGCTATCCTTTGCATTATTAGCCAAAAATCAGAGTCAGACATTCGGCTCATTTGGTGAGTATGAGTTGTTCCCACCACTGTGGCCACTCTATGACTCCTTGTTGTCACCAATATTACACTTTCGGGAGCCCCATCCTTGAGAGAGTCATGGAAAGGTTTCTGACAGGTGCCGAACCTGTACAATAATAAATACCTACTCGAGAAAAAATACAGATTTTGTATATAGCGGTGAGCAGGGTCGAATCCACAGGGACTGGGGATAACTCGTTCCTTCTAGAGTCCAGAGTATGGGGGGTTTTGGATTAAATGCTAACTAAATAAGTTAACTGCAGGAAATAATTAATTCAAAGAAATAATTAAGGGGAAACTCTAGCCAAGGGTACACTTCAGAAATGGTTCATGCAACTGATCATTGATTCACAGATAATCCCATATTTATTAATAGACCAGTTATAGTTGTCATGCACGCGATAAACAACCAACATTTCCTTAATTTTTCGATAGTTAAGGTACGACCGTTAACTATTTCTCAACCCAAAAACAACCCTAGGTACGACCGTAGGATTTAATTTCTAGATTGCATTAATAAATAGAAAGGCCCAATCCTAACTAACAAACACGCTACGAGGGTTTGTTTAAGTTAGATCGTATGTTCCCCTGACATAAACCCAATTACGCCAGTTGCTACTGAGATAAAGATAACGAACAATTACGGATTCAATTATCCCTATTTAGCAAAATAGCCTATGTGAATAATTAAATATTGCGCATCTATTCAATCACTCACACGAGCTATAGCAATTAAAAGCAGGTAACATATAAATACCAATAAATTAAGGAAGCAATTAAAATAAATTAGATCTCACAGTAATTGTTGAACCAAATCTTCAGCTGTCCCCTTGACTAGAATTACGAGGTTAGTCCTCCATTAATGGAGAACAACCATGCGGAAGAGCTCCGAAGAGAAAACTAAAACTATGCTAAAAACCTAAACTACAACTACTGATTCCTCCCCCTCTCGTACGTTTTTCCCTTTTTTTTAAAGCCAAAAGGAAGTGTAATGCTATCTCTAGTGGTCCCCACACCAAATTCAAAGTCTTGTACGTTTCTTTTCCTAGAGTCCAAATGACTCATGCTTCTTATCCGTGGTCCCCGCACATGTGGACAAAGCTTCCAAAGTACTTGTTGTTCCAAGTCTCTCTACGTTGCTTTCTTTGAAATGCCCAAATGACTAAATGCCTTGCACTAACTTGTGGTCCCCACCAATTCAAGGATCCAAAGGTTGAAGCCCTTAGAAGTCTGCATTTTTCCATACAAGTCTCTCCTTTTTGGTAATTTTCTGCTTCAATCCCTGAAATTGGGTCCAATACCAAATATAAGTAAATATTAATACTTAAAACAATATTTGGCAAGGATAACAGGGGAAATTAACAATAAAATTGCTAACAATTAACACCCTATCAGTTTCCACTTTGAGTCATCCTCTGTCCAGACATCATCTAGGACAAGCAGGAATCTCTTACCAGAAAAAGTTTCTTTTATAAGTCGGATCAACGAATCCAACTCTAACATGAAATGAGAACCTCTTCCGGCACTCTCAAGGATAGCTTTTGCGATCCTTTTTTGGTCGAAAGGATCCGATACGCAGATCCAATTTCTAAAATCAAAGTGATTCTTCACTTCATCATTATTGAAGAGCAGCTGGGCAAGTGTGGTCTTTCCACTACCCCCGGCCCCTACTATAGAGATAATTTGAACTCCATCTCTTCCTTGACTACTACTAGTCTCAGACAATACTTGGTCAAGTAAAGCATCCTTATCAGATTCTCGACCATAGATCCCTGATTCATCTATGATTGAGGTAGTCATAATTCGCTGAAAATCTTGAGAATCAGGAATCCCCCCACTTGAAATAAATTCGAACTGGCGCGCCTTTTCCAAAGTTAATTCTAGCTTTCCATTTATTTTCTTTATCTTCGAAGCAATATCACTACGCACAGGAAGTTGTTTAAGACATGAACAACAGGATGGGATAAAGGAACGAACCTTGTTCCGCAATGTAGGCTGCTTCTGATGAGTTCCCTCATATTTTGGTTTCTGAATCTTGATGTTGCATTCGTCCAGGACATCATCCATCTCATATGTTATGTCTTCAAGCTCTTCTAGCCACTTTGCGACTGGTTTCTCCTTCTGCCTTCGTCTCTCTGCATCATGCAGCACATTTTGAATCGTTTCTAACTTTCTTTTGATATTTGCCACCTCCTCTTCAACCCCCATCACCAGGTTAATCTTCTCCCCGAGCTGCTTCACGACAACATCACCCAATTCATCTATTATCTTTGGAACAAACAATTCAGCCATTGTTTTTGTTTTGAGGTACAAGGAGTATGGGAAATAAAATGGTGCGAGGATAGAATACAATAATATTAATGAGAAGGACTTGGAAAGGATTTTTTTTTTTTAAACTTAGGGGAATGGGAATGCATGCTTAGTACTACTCCTACTGGGTCTTGACTCTTTGAGCTTGATTTACAGTTTTTTACGACTTACTTTACATCTTTTATTGTAGTCGACATCTTTTACACAATTATTGCTAGATATTTAGAGATGGTATACAGGTAAAAGGATCCATTCCACACAGCCCCACTTTTTTTGCCTCACATTTCAATTGACCAACACGATAGACCCCAAATGTTTCTTGCATTAAGTATTTAAAGTTTTATCGTTCAAAAAAAAACTATTTAAAGTATAAGGGATATTTGCTAAGTAGGTTTTATCCTACGAGTTTTAAATTCAATCTCGTTTGGATTCCTATTTTCTAGAGCGTTTTATAGAAAAATTATTGTAACGATTTGATATATATGAGGTAAAAAGGTGATGAAATAATGTGGTCACGAAAAACGTAACAATTCTTTTTTCAAAAAATTTGGAATCCAAACATATAAATCTAAATAAATATGATATACGTTTATTCTTTGGATTTTGTAATTGATTATTTTTTAATCGGGATTTAAAGTTTACTTATTTATTTGTCTCGTATCTTAAATTAAGAGTAAGAAAGCTAAAGAATACTAGAGGAAATGGAGAGAGTCAAACTGAATTTTAGTTGCCAAACACTATATGGGTTTCAGTGAAATAGTGATTATCATTCAAGCTCTTGACTTAGAATCTTCCTCTATTAAGAAAAATATTCAATTTGGAACTTGACAAGTAGCTCCTCAGGAATGCAAAAGTATTTGTAAAAGGTTACTTTTTTTAAATGGGTCTGTTTAATATGTGCCCATTGGATATCATTAAATATATTTCAGGTACCATATTTTTGAAGATGTAACATTAATTAGTAAAAATAAATAAACATAGAGAGGACAGGTAAAATTAAATAAGGGAAGTATATAAATGTAAAAGAGGATAAAAATAGCTAGCATGTGGTTAAAAATCTTAAAGACAAGTTAGAAGCATTGTTTGAGGTATATTTACAAGGCCAGTCTCTTGCTTGTTTAGAATCCCAAGATAGGATTGCTAATACTGAAAATGATGGTGAAATAAGGGATGAGTTAGATTTGGAGTTTTATTCCTATAATAGCCAACATGAGGCATCTATTTCCAAGTCCCAATTAGGTATTTACTTAGAGGAGAAATTACTTCCAAGAGATAAGAAATTTAATATTCTTGATTTTTGGAAAGGAAATATGCTGAGATGTCCTGAACTTTCCTTATTAGCAAGAGACATTTTGAGCATTCCCATTACAACGGTTGCATCTGAATCTGCATTCAGTCATGGAGGTCGAATCCTTGGAAAGTTTCGAAATGCACTTTTGCCAAGCAATGTTGAAGCATTGCTATGTTCTCGGGACTGGATTTATGGTGGTGAAGGTACTATTGATTTGAAATTTTAAACGTCAAATATGTTTATTTTCTTTTCTATTAATTTTGGTTCTTTTTAAATAATAGCAGGTTATGATGCTTCTGAGGTAGAAGAGGACGCAGAAATGAGTGTTGATGTCCAAAGATTGGTGGCTAAACTTGGTAGTGGAGTATAAGGTACAACATGACAGTTTGTAATCTCAGAAGTTTATATTGCATGTTCTCAAAAGTTTTCTTTGTCAACCTCTTTACTCTTTTTGCTCGAGGAATCCAAATCTTGGTGGATACCAAAGTCAATGGCAACAATCCGTGTTTTCCATATTGGTTGAGAAGATGTCTATTCTATGGTACCATATCTCTGTTTCTCCCACTATTATGTGGATTTTTACCTTTTGCAAGCCTTGGTGAATGGAAAGATCACTTCTTGATGGATAGCGTCATGATGACAGAGGATTGATTTTGGACTGATGACTTCGACACGCAGACTAGCTGCACAGTGTAGTAATGCTTGTTGTATGTATTTATGTGCTATGATAGAAGGTTTTGAAGTTCATTTTGTTCTTATCAAAATGTATGTCTTTGTGAGGTAACTATTCATTATTCTAAAGTGTAAAAGATATTAAAGTTATTTAAAAAATAAAAAATGAATTAAAGGAAAAAAATATGTAAAAAATAGATTTGGGTATTGGGCGGAATCAATCTAAACCCATTCCAAAGTGATCCAGCCCAAGTTAATCCCAAAACACATATGGGTAAGGTTGGGTCCAAACCCATATAACTCGGTTCCATATTAAACCCAAGCAAATCCCGCCCATCTCGTCCATTTTGCCACCTCTACCAAATTTGAACTTCAGAATTTCCTACAAAAAGAGAATACAGTAATTTGTTTGCTAGCCAAAAACTGCAGTGTTATTTGCAATCTTCCACGAATTTGGAGATCTTACACATCTAAACCAGAATTTACCCAGGATACAAGCCATAATACCACCTGCCATGAAAAGAGAAGCCAATTTTTTTCCTTGCTGCAATAAACGATCCATCAAGAATAACTGTAAAATAAGCTACAACAACTATCAACTTCAGCTATACTCAACTCATCCAAGAAAAATTTTTCTAATATATAAGCTATTCTGGTTCACCAAAATTTGGAGATTTGAAGCCCAAGCTTGTGAAGTCTCTAACTGGTATTAACTTACTATCGGCTTCAATATCGACGAACTTACGGAGCAATGGTGCTGAGCTACCTAGAAAGGAAAGGAAGATCATTTAAGAACGTGTTTATGTTCCCAGAGTAGCGGTTTCATGCTGCCTACCATTTTCAGCTGGCCTAATAGATAGATTATCTGTCAGTGGATGTTGCGACTGGTGGTTGTCATGGTGAGATTGATGATGGTGCTGCTGGTGTCTTAGGTCGTGTTCATGGTGCTGCCGGACACATTTGGATGCTGATGAGATGAATGACGTCTGCTTGTTCTCCATCTCAAGTACTCCACAAGCAGTGAATTGGTGCTAATTGCAATTCCAAACCCAGTGAAGGAAGAAAGCAGCACCGATAGAATTGCATTTACATTAAGCTGCAGAAGTAGATTGATTGAACTATATAATAAAATTCATCTTCTTCTACATGTAAGATAGAAAGTACGGGAGCAGCTAAACCCCCTTCTCACCCACCCATACGACAAACAAGAGGCGAGAGATGTTAGTGTGTGACTGTGATGGTAAGGGGATGAGGGTGCCAGCGGCACAGAAGAAGCGAGAAAGTAATGAGAAAGAGAGAGGGAGAGTAATTTACCACAGTACAAAATATATGAGCAAAAAGGATGACGATTGCAAACTGGAATGAGGCATATGCCCACATGTAACTTTTACTAACTGCCAAAAAAAAAAACTGCCCACATGTTCATATTAGTCTCCTTGATAACCTGCATTCTACTTCTTTTTTTAGCAGGTTGGTAATGCTGGATTTACTTTATGTTCAATTTATGATTCCTTATGTTCATATTAGCAAGTTGGTAATGTTGGTTTCATTGGGTTATAGTTCCTTAATATGTATATGTTCTTTGTGTTTGCAGATTTTAGAAACTTAAACTCCAAAAGTAAGATGATACAACACTCTCTTGCTGAATTATGTGATTGGTTTCTGAAAAAAGCCAGTAAAATTAATCATCTTACTTAACTTTGCCTTCAAAAATCAGAAGCTGCTTTTATAGGTTTTCCATGGCACCAAGTATGAAGGGGCCCCGCAAAGTTGTTGGGCCAATGTCCGGAGCGCATACTGAGTCCACTAATAGTTTGAACCCTGTTTCACAGTCAAGCTCTCAATCTTATCAGACTTGCCCAAATCATTATTCAAAGCCTCCAGCACATAAATTCATTGGGGCAATGCCTGGAATACGCATAGACCCTACATCTAGCTCAAACTCTTTCTCGACCTAATTGTCAAGCGAAATCACATGACTCCAATTCAAATTCAAACTGAGCTTCTAGCTTTATTTCTGCTTCTCAGTTCAACTCTAAAGCCAATTCACATCAGTTGAACTCCAAGGCTGATTCTCAACTAAATTCCCATCCTAATTCACATATCGGTCAAGGCTTTCATTCTCAACCACTAGACCATCGTGAGCAACCAGATTCCTTTGATAACAATGATTCTGAAGCTGGATCAGGTTCTTCATATGATTCAGAAGACATAGAGGGTGTCTTTGATGGTACTTTTGATGATGATGATTCTAGTGAAGAAGGTCGGTTGGAAAAGAAAAGATTACCACAAATAGTTTTGAGTCTAGCATTCCTTATTATAAGCTTTGTATAATATTCATAAAAAAAATTATATGAATCACAATTTCTTCTTTTGTATGTGTATGTGTTTTTTGTACACAGGAGACAATAGTGGTAGAGGACTAGCCAGACGAAGTGCTGGTTGGGGTGGTGGAAAGAAATTGGAGTTAGTTTGGAATGCACGGGGCCAAGTAATTGGTCCTAATGTTACACAATATATAAGTCAAGTAGGAATCTTAGTAAAGGATGGTAATAAATTACCACTCACGTACACAGATTGGAGGGCCATGCCTGAAGGATCTAAGGAGAGATTTTGGGAAGAAATTAAGGTATTTTGACTCACTATCAAAGTTAGCAACATTTTTTTTCTTTTTATTTCATACAATCTTGTAGCTTGTGAATGTTTAAACTTTTGTTTTGTAATTTTTGATAGAGAAATACAAATATTGATGATACATGCAAGAAAGTACAAATGATAAGGGTCAGCAAATTGTGGAGAAATTGGAAATCAAAAGTCAAGAGCATGTATTTCACTCCTTATAGGAGGCACAGGTCATGGCTATTAGCACACTGTCCTGCAAGAGTTGAGAAGGATCAATGGCCTATTTTGGTTGATTATTGGAGCTCAGAAGATGTCAAGGCATGTATTTATTGTCACATCTCTTTTGCTTTTGAATTAAATTCTAGTGCTATTATGATTTTGAGGTGTTGTTAACTACCTTTTTCTGTTTTGTACATAATTAGAAGCAAAGCAAGATTAATAGCAAGAATCGAAAAAAACAAAAGATGACACATCGAACAGGGCGAAAAGATCATGTGAACCTCAGGGAAAGGTATATTAAATTCTAATGCTTATGTTTCTAGCAATTTTTTCTGGAAAATAGTCTTATTTAGAAATATTAACACTTTAGTTTGTACATTGAATATGTGGCGGCTTCGGATTAAAACTGGAAAAGAGCCTTCGAAACTAGACGTTTTTATTCATTCAAGACAAGGAAAACAAATGGATGAGTTGACTTCACAAACAATTGTAAGAATAGCTTTTAGTCACTTTTTATTGGTTTTACTTCATAAATAATTCTTTCTTCTGTCTGTTTTTCAATTTAGGCAACTATGAATGAGGAAATACAAAAACTGCCAGAGACATCCAGGGATGATAATTTTGTGAAAGATATACTCTATGAAAATATTCTTGGACCTGAAAGACCTGTCGTGTCTTCGAACTTATGGGGTAGGTGCGACTCCAAAAGACGTGTATAGGATGTCAGATAACATGAATGCTGGACAAAAGAAAGCATTTGAGGATGCAGTGAATGAGAAAGTGGAAATCATACGTGGTGAACTACGAGAAGAAATGAATTCGAAATTGGCAGATTTTAAGGAGGAGTTGATTGCTCAATTTGAAGCAAGAATGGTTTGGGATAACTATTTGGTTAAATATTATAGTTTTTCTAATTTTTTTATTGCTTTAGTTACTATTGATCTTTGTTCTTCCAGAGGGCATCCACATGTGACTTGGCATCACTCCAAAGAAGAGAAATGAATGCAGCAAAACAATCTCAAATTTCGGACTCATTAGAGGTTGTATATTAATTCATACAATTCGATTTTGTGTTCAAACTCTCTGAAATATCAGCAGCTATGGCCTGATTTTCTTTTCTTCATACTTTGTTGATAATGTAACAGGTTGGTGATAGAATGAACAGGGAAGTTGGAACAAATGATGCTGAAATGTACAAGGAAGTTGGAACAAATGATGCTGAAATAAACAAGTGTGAAATGAATAAAAAAGTTTCTTCAATTGCTGATATTCTTGAGGTATAGTATGCGTACTTTGAGTTGGTCCTTCTATAGAAGACCAATTTTGCTGAGTTCCTTGTTGATATTGAATTGTGCATGACTTCCTTGTTGATGACTATTTGTGCATGAGCTCCTTGTTGATATTTAATTGACTAGTCTTTTGTTATACCAGAACCATCATACAAAGAAGAAAAGGAGCAGGACTACTTGCAAACGACTTGCTTGAGGTACTGGAAAGTTTCTGGAAATAACTCTATTCTGTCAAGTTTTCCATTGAGTATTTGTATGATTGGGAAGACGAGCTGTTTTTGTTAAGATTTAGCCAGCTATTTATGGGACATAATGTAGTAGAAGTGGTCTTAATTTTCAGTGTCTGTGAAAAGGTTGAATTACAAATTCCGTTTCAGTAACTATTGTTATATTAACGTTTTCTTCATGCTTAATGGGCTGGGGTTATATGAGCAGGGACTAATAGAATACACTTTGCAGCCCTGGACTTGATGGTACATTGGAAGCACGCAGATTGGGAGATATGAAGATGTTTTTGAGAGATGTATGATGAAGTGTTGTACTTTTGAAGACAAGCACATTTTGGAATATATGAAACATCTTGTAATTGGAGCGAACAATATTAAATGATAAAGTTTGTAGAATTTGACTAAAACAATGTATGATACTTTATTCTAGTGTATTGTGGAACTATATTTTGTTATAATATTCGATTTTAGGATATTTGAGCATGATAATTATTGTACCATGAAAAAATTGATTTCTGGTCTTTATATTGGTGACTTTTTTGCGATGCAAGTTTTTGTCGCATGACATTGTGGACATTTTGTAGCGCATTTTTTGTGCCGCAAGTAGAGTGGTGACACTCAAATTGGCGTCGCAAAGAGTGATGCAAATGCATGCGACATGTTGAAAAATTGTGTCGTTTTCTTTTGTAACGGCTACTTTTGTGACACAATTTAATTCCGTCGCATTTGTGCCGCAAAAAGGTTTTCACGGCGGTTTTTGGACTTTTTGCAGCATATTTCTGGCATCGTGAAAAGTCAGTTTTCTTGTAGTGATCATAAGAAGAATAATCAATTAGGAGCAAGAATAATTGAATAAAAAATCAAACCTAGTAAAAGTATCAGATGAACATATCAACTTCATGGACAATTTATATGCAGAAAATGCTTTGTAACATGCACATCTATATTTCCAAGTTTAGTATATAAACAATGTCATTCTATTATAAGGCAGGCAAGCAAATAGGAGATTATAAGGCATTCCCTTTATCAGAGTTAAAATATCAAATACTTTTGTGAAAGTTTTACACTTGAAAAGGAACTATTCATTATAGTTAGGCCAATCATGGTAAAGCTTTCTTTTATGGGTAGTTTCAACACATTTGTCTAAGCTTATGAAGTACCTGTACAACTAGCTGCCATAGCAAATCCTGTTATTTCAGCTCTTTCTTACAAGATGTATCACTTTACAGAACAAATCATAAACAACTTTCCTCCTAGAATTGTAGCAAATTGAAAATTCAAAGAGAATTGTTTTGCTCTTAGAAAAATGTCAATATTTGGTTTTCCCCATTTTCTTCTTCAATTCATCTCTGTTCACTACAAATTAGGATACATTTCTTTTTGGTTCTTTTTTGTTTTCTTTCCTTTTCCTTTTGTTGTTTTTTGGTCTGTTATGGTTGATATCTTACTTCTCTTATGCTGCCGAAATTAACTTCTCAGTGTTGTGGACTATCCTTTTGGTAGCCATATTCTGAGCTTCTTCACAAAAACTTAGATGATTGACATTGACTTAGAATCTGATTATTACAAACCACTGGGACAGTCTCAAAGCTTTTACATCCTGACTCTAGGCACCAAATTAAAGTATCCAACTAACCACTGGGAGAGGGTTGGTTGGGTTGTAAGTGAGAGGTCTTGGGTTCAAGTCCTCTCACTTACAAAAAAAAAAAAAGTATCCAACTAACTTAAGCTAGTAACCAAGCATAAATCATTTTTTAACTAGCCTACAAGACAAGTCTCAACACTCGTCAATTGAGTTGGATGTAAAGCATATAAGGCAACATTTAGGCCTTCCTAATGTGCTTGGATGAGCTATTGACTAGTTTACGTTTTCCAACTACAATTTTGCAAAAGAGATAGGTGCACAAAAGTAGAAATGGTTTCTTAACATTTTTGAAAGATGTTTTCCAGAATCTTTCCTTCATTTTATCCTTTTTTTTTTTTTTGGCTTTGGCTTGATGGTCGCAATACTGTAAATACCTATAGACCCACATACCCATACAGCTATCTATATGTCCAAAGATGCTTAAATGATAGGAACTGGTGCTATTAACCTATATTACTGCAAAGAAATTCCACTTTGTGGATACTGCTTAGTATAGAACATGCATCCATTTCCTTTGCATATATTGAGAGTGTATAAATGCGATGCAAATAACCACTAAAGGCCCTATTTTGGTCCAAAGATAGAGAAAATAGTACCAAACAAGGAAAGTAAATATAGAAATCGCCAGCAGAAGAAAACAGTAAAAAAATCTTACCCATAGTAGAAGCTATCATGGTTGAAATGAAGCCTAGTGCACAGAAAAAGGTAAAGAAATCGCAAGTGCACGAGGTCCCATGTCAGATACCTGCTTAGAAAAGTGAATTATGATGACAATGTGATGCTTTTGAAGAACGAATATTGGAGAGATATATTGCAGAAAGAAGCATATGGAAATGCTAAATTTCTCATTCCACTCATTTTTAATGTATAAAATCGTAAAAGACCAGCACATTTTCTGATGTTTCCAAAAGTCAAACCAGAATATATGCCTTGTTCCCTACCACAGGCACCCTATATCTGGAATAAAAAAATCTCATCATTGGATTCTTTTGGATCTTAGGCCCATTACAGGCATTTTTTTTGTTTATGAAATATTTTTTTATTAAACTCAAAAAAGCACCTGATTTATAAAGAGTCTCACTACCAAAAGACAGCTGATACATCAATGAAAGCTAATAGAATGGTACTGTCAGCACTCAGGTAAGGGAAATTTACATGAGTAATAGTTCAAATATATAGAAACGTGCTGCACAACCTTATATGTGTAAACTAGACAGGTTAAAGCAAGGCAATGTTAAGCAGAGAGCAAAGTCATACCAGAAGCTGCTCCAGAAAGCAGAAAATATGCTAGCATGCTGATCATGACAAGGATTGGTATGTCTTGCCAGAGCCTATTTGAGGGTGAACAAATAAAATACCAAAATAAGCTCCAGAAAGTTGGGATTTAAAGGCAACAAGAATGTCTCTATTTGTATCAGCAAGTTTTACACGCTGCACGTAAGAACAGACTAGAGCCTGAGTCAATTTGGACTAAAATTTTATCACTGTTGTAAGACCACCAGAAGATTATTTACAAGTATATCATTCCATTACGAAGTTTCCATAAACAACATTGAAGACGTCATCATTCCCGACACCATTTTGCTAGATTCTAGGCCAGCAAGATGGGTAAGCAGCGAGCAAGTTGAGAGAAGGAATAGACATTCTTTCTTAAAATTTCACTTAATTGTGATCTTGTTCACTTAATTGTAGCTAAAGGTTCTTCTCTTTCATAATACCAATATTGTGAGCGTCTATGGTTGCTCTTTTGGGTTTCTTTCAATCTTGCAGCTCTTTGATGTAACTCTTTCTCAATAAAACTGAAGCACTAGGAAATTCCACCTCCCCGTTCTTTTCTTCTACTTATGAGTCAAAGGTTCTCCAATTCACTAATTTCACTTTCTGTTTTCCTCGTTTTACTTCCCATTCTATCTTTTCCTTTTTCATATTTCTGTAAATATCAGACTCTTTGGGTATTTAGTCACCTTTGCTCAGAACCTGTTTTAATCTGTAGCCTTGTGCTTGAGTGTGCATAATCTATTTTCTTCTTTTCTTAGTTGTTTAAAACTTGTTCAAGTAACATTGACGTTAACAAAACAGAAAATGATGACAAAGTTAAGTGCATATTTAGAAAAAGGAAGGTAAGTGCATATTTTAGTGCAAAACTTGCCTGTAACGCGTCACTTCCATCTGCTGCGCACCTACTGGCGGCCTTCTTACGACATTAGCTGGATTCTGTATTTTCAATAATGTTACTGGAAGATTCTGAACATCCTTCTTGTTGCCTTTAATACTAAACCACTTAATTGCACATTCCTTGTGGGCAAGTGCAAGCTCTCCTTTGCAACTGCACTCCATTTTAAATGTTTCACCGCCTTCTCCAAGTTCGACCAAACATATCCTACACACTGCCTCTTCTTCTGGTATATCTTCTGCAGCATCATCACATGCTGTACAGAAGAAAATAATTGTAACTAGAACCAAACTTTTTTGAGAAATTTTAGGGAAACCAAAAAGACAAAAAGAAAAGGAAAGATAGATGGAAGTAGACTAAATTTCTTGTCTTCCTTAGTTTTGGAAAGACAGATTGCTGTCATTTCATTGTACAGTGTCATTTGAAAATTAACTCAGTCATATGAATATTCAAAATTCACTATATCATCTTTTCAGTTTTTTAAGGCAACAACATTCGTTGAGTTCACTTGGCTGAACAGAGGTACAAGCGGCTTCATGCATTTAAAAAAATATGTGATGGTAATTATTGGATGCAGAGTCAAACAAATTAATCAAAGGGCATAGTCTTGAAACTTCATGAGACAACAGTCACGATACTAATGGAATTCATGAGAATACCAAACAATTAGAAATATCTTGTTTCTGAATTCTTAACAAAAACGTCAGCCTATACATAGGGTCTGAATAATATTTACCTGTTTCTATCTCTGTAGCATTGTCTACTACATTTTTCTCATCTGTTCTAGGCCGAGGGTTGCTGATATTACACGAACCAAACATCCTGAAGAATCTGTCCGTCTTAGGCTTTTAACTTTAACATTTACGGGAACTGAGAATGAGCGTTGCATTTGCTGCTCAACCTCATGCTTCTGTCAGAGGTAGACTAACTTAAGCATAGAGTAACAAGCACAGAAAAAGAGTCTAGAACATGAAGTAAATAAGTAAAGAGACTTACAGGTAAATAAGTGTGGCCATTTAAGTTACTTTCCTCTACTTCATAGGTACTTGCATCTGTCATCGGAGTAACTGGCAAAGAATGTGTTGATGTTGTCGCTGAAGAGAACAAAATTTTGTTGAGAGAAAATGACCTGGAGGTAGAAGGCCTGTTTGAAGGCTTATCAGAAGGTGGAGTATCGGGAGCTATGAGAACTGTTTTCTCACCATCATGGGAAAGGTTCTTTCCCTTGGAGCTTTTCTGTGGAAGAAGATTTTTCATGGATGACATAAATTTTGCTGAGCTTGGTCTAGGAGGTAACCCATTCCTCGTAGAACTTGGACTAGGAATGTCAATTCGTGCAAAACTAGACAATGTGTTTTCCAAGGACCTCACAGGTACTTGCAAAGAAGAAAGGTTTGGACGTTTTGGATGTTGCATTAAGGTGCCCTCTTGTCCTTCTTC